TAATGTTGAGACCTTCAGGATGTGTGGGAGAGAGCAAGCCAGATAAGACATGAGGGAAAGGGCCTTCCAGACAAAAGGAACAGCATAAGCAAAGGCCCTGAGGCTTGAATGAGCTTGGGTCGGTGGAGCTGGAGTGGAGCAAATAAGGATGGGAGGAAGTGGCCCACAGTGCTGTCCCAAATCACCCACAAGCCCAACTCTGAAACACGCTCTCAGGCACTGGCAGCAGGAGGTGCAGGGAACCAGGCGGGGTCTGCCCAGGGCTCCATGAGTACCCACCAGCCAGTCCTCCTGGTCAACAGAGGAAGCAAAGACTCATCCATCTCCCCTTCAGAGATGAGCACACTCAGGCCACAGGCTGGACCCCAGGCCTGCTGTGACCCCACCCAAAGCCACATGGCTTTTCAAGTCCCCAACAGGCTCTCTGCATCTGGGGTGGGGGTTGCAGGGGTAGAGAGGCTTTTGGAGTCTCAAACTCTACCCCTTGTGGGAGAGGCACCCCTTCTATTGCACAAAAGACACCATATGTCCTGGGGTGGCCCAGTCCCCAGATCTCTCCTCTGGGGACCGAGATCTGGGGACCCCTGCCCTGAAGCTGGAGAGAGTAATGGAGCTGGGAAGCCCCCAGATCCTGCATGTAGCACCCAGGCTGAGACAGGTAAGAAGCCCAGCTTTCTGCTCTGGGTCTCACCTGGCTGGGTCTGCAGGAAAAATGGGGTAGAGGAAAGCTGGCCCTGGAGGTCAGAGGATCCCTCACTGCTCCCAGCCCCTAGGGGCATAATCTCCCAGGAAACAGGGCCTGAGTCCCTACACCCTAATTACTCTTGTGGCACAAATTAGGGCTACTACATGCCACCTTGCTTACTGATCGGCTTGGGGGCAGTCGCCTCCCAGCTCTGAGCTCACCCCCAGAGACGGGGTGCAGGAGCCAAGGCTCATGCTCAGGGAGCCTGCTTCACCCTGCACAGCACTGCAGATGGGGAGGCGGTACAGGCCAGAGCCTTCTATTCTGGTAGCGCCTCCCCTTCTTAATTGCCACACTGACTCCTCTGGGGATTCAGGCTTATTTGCATTTTTCATAACATTAGTAATAATGAGAGTTTAATGAAACCATGTGCTGGGAAATACAGAGCACGTACTATGTGCCAGGCAAGGCACGCGTGTTTGCTCAGTTCATCCCCAGAGCAACCCAGGACGTGGTCACTACTGCTGATTCCATTTCTCAGAGGATGCTGAGACCTGGAGAGGCCAAACGGCCGGTCAAGGTCATGCAGCAGGTAGCAGAGCCAGAGCTCAGAGCACATCCCTCTGCCAGAAACACTGTGCCCTACACCCCAGATTCAGCTCAAACACCACCCCTTCAGGGAGCCTTCCCTGGTCGTTTCCAGGCGGATGCCTTCTGTGTCTCTCCCACATCTGTAGGCGAACATGCATTTGACTTATATGTAGGGTCATTGACACCTGTCTCTCCTACTATACCAGGAGAGCCACCAGGTCAGGGACCCATAGCAGTCTCCGTCCAGAGCACTGCTGTGATCCTGGGGCCACACACAGCATCCGGCTCAGGGGAGGGGCTCGGAAGACTGTCTAATGGAAGCACAGGTGAGTGAATGCCATCCCACTAGCGTTCTCTGCTTGGCAAGTATCCCCCTTGGGACCTAGGGCCACAGGGAGATAAGAGCCTTCAGCCATGGGGTGGGGTAGAGAGGGCAGGTGGGGAACAGTACCTGAGCTTAGGATGGTGGGCCGGGCCTTGGGGGGTCGGGACCCCGTCAGGGAGTTGGTGCTGCTGCTGCCACTGCTGCTGGTCCCACCACCCTTACACGTCAGCTGCAGGGAGGAATCCTGGCCTGGGATGGAGATGGACTTGGCAGTGGATGGCGGCCTTGGGAAGACAGATGGGTATGACTGGTGTGCCCCACTTTGGGGTCAGAAATAGACAGGGGAACCCAAGAGCCTGGAGGAGAGAAAAGTCCCTGTCCTCCCTCCTCCAGTGTCCAGGACAGAGCCCCCAGCCCTCAGGAGGCCTGCACCAGCACTCACGTCTTGAAGCAGGGGTCTCCAGAGAGCAGGAACATTCCAATGGTGACCTGTGCAGAAGCGGGAGAAATCAGCCACGCCCTGTCCACCCACTCAGCCCAGGGGCCCGGCCTCCCTGCAGGCCCCCTGCTCTGGCTTCAGATGGCCTTGGACTCTAATCCTGTCTCTGTCCCTCACTGGCCCTGCTGAAGCCACCAAACCTCACTAAGCCCCAGTTTCCCCCTGCAGAGGACAAAACTGATCCTAACAGCTGCGTCGTGGGATAGTGAAGAAAACGCTGGGTGCCTGGCACAGAGTGATCAAGGAGCGAAAGTTCGCTTTTGTCATTTCAGAACTACGACTAGACTGAGCCCTCAAGGGTGGGGCCGCAGCCGCTCTCCATCCTCAGCGGCCCTCACGGCCCTCAGAGCAGGCGAGGCAGGCGGGGGGAGGTTTCCTCAAGCCTGACTTGGCGTCGGAGGCTCACACAGTCCAATGCAGAGGGCAGGGGCTTGTGAAAGTTTGTTGAAAATAAAGTAAAGCAAGAAGCCATTAGAAATGTAACATCCACTTGGGCAAGAAAGATTTTGGCAATGGCCCAAACAAGGCAAGGTCTGGGTCCCCAAATCTGGGCTGGGACAGAGTAACAGGCAGAAGGTGACAGAGTGGGAAAGGGGTGCTCAAATTCCAGAAACACCTCTGATAAAAATGGTAACCTTTTTTTAAATGGATTATTTCATTTGACCATGGTAGCAACCTACAAAGTAGGGGATGGTCCCAGGCTGTAGGCAAGGGAACTGAGACTCAGACTCAGAGGAAGTGACTGAGCTGGCCTTGAACTAGAAGCCACCAGCCCCCAGGGCCCCCGTGATCTAACCTGAGGGTGCGCAGGGCCACAGGAATGAGGCTGAAAGGCCTTGGCTCTCACAACTACTAGCCTGGACCTTTTCAGGTGGCTCTGGTTTCCTCTGCAAAAGGTCCAGGAAGCCCCAGAGTCTCTGCTCACCACCTCTACCCGGCTCCACCGGGCACAACATGCTTCTGCTGGGTCAGCTTGTAGAGGTGTGGTTAGGACAAGACTGTTTTCTCAGTCAGGTGGGAGGGTGTGGAGGCGAGGAAGAGAGGTGTGCTGGCAGCAGACGCCCAGATATCTCTATTCCAAGAGGCCAAAGAGGCAGGTGCCTGGGGGGAGGGTGTTTCTCTGGCCACCGGAAACCTGCACGTGGCTGGGCCCTCTGAGCAGCTGCCAGGGTCTGCCCGGGTCCAGGGATGGCAGGTCCATCTGCTCCGATACTCTGGGAGCTCAGGCTGCCTCATGACATGTGGGGCAGTAGTTAGGAGCTGGACCACAGGGTCAAGTGCCAGCTCTGCTTGTGACCCCGGGCAAGTGATCTAACCTCTGTGCTTCAGCCCCCTCCTCTGCAAAACTGAGATCAATAACAGACACCACACCCCACGGGGCTGTTGTCAGGCATCATGAGATAAGGGGTGGTAAGCACTCAGGGATGCTGATCTCACCAAAAGTGCTCACCAAAGCCTTAAAGAGACCGTTGGGTTCACCTCCTGACTGCAAATTATGGATGGAGAAACTGAGGTCACGGCCAAGTCAGGCCTCTCTCATGGTGGTTTCCTGACCCCATGGCCCACGTCTTCCCAACATCCCTCACTGCCTGTCTGGGGTGAGAACCTCCATTTTTAACAACCCTCCAGAGGACACGGAGCAAGTCTTCCCCTGACCCTTGGTGGGAGGGGGCAGATGAGGCAGCAGAGCCCCCTACCTTAAGGATGGAGTTGTCCTGTCGGGTGTTCTTCGTGTCATATCCCTCCAGCAGGCAGCAGCGCACCGTGGAGCCCGAGCCTGCAAACTCGGCCAGGTTCAAGTCAGCAAAGCCCAGCTGGGGGGACAGAGGAGAGTGTGGGTGCAGGGCTAGCAGCCCAAGGGTTAATTTGGCGAGGTGGGGAGGTGGAGGGGAGGCAGAACCCCTGGGCCCGCCCCACAGCCCAGACTGACTGTTGCATAACCAGCACCCAAGGACAGAGGCCCCGGTTGGCGGCTCCAACGTGGCAAAGCCAGGAGCTCACATCCCTGAGCAGCAGCACAAAGCGCCCTTTGTGTGCGCCCCAGTGTGCATCGGGGCAGCACCGGAGATGAAAGGACACTGTTGTCTGTGACACAGACGCATTGTTCCCTGGGAAACAAGGCCGTGCTGTGGGAGCCTCCAGGCCACCGGACAGGAGGGGAGGGAAGGCCCGTGGGAACTTGGTGTTGGGATGGGTGGGCAGGAGTCCCTGGTGGGAGCTGGCGTGAGGGGCTGAGGGAACTCCCAGCTGCTCCTGGGGTGCAGACGGGAGTAAGGTATGGGGAGGGACGTGAGCAAGTGTGAGAACAGGATGAATGAGCTAAGAAGGTCTCTTAGGTGGAAGCCCCGTCTGCCAGACCTGAAGGCTGAGGTGAGAGGGTGCTGAGCCCGGGGACTCAGAGGACGAACCAAGCCAATCAGGGACGTTTCCTGAGCACCTGCTGCATGCAAGGCTCTACTGCACAGTTTGGGGCACATGCTCCAGAATCAGGGACTCAGGTTCAGATTCTAGCCCTGCCATCATCTCAGAGTGACCCCCATTCTACAGATGAGGAAACTAAGGTTCAGAGCGGGGAAGTGACTTGCTTAGGGCCTCATGTACCATAACTAGCAGAGCCAGGTCTGACACTAGGCCTGATCAGCATCTAGTCTCACCACCTTTCTGGGCCTCAGTTTCCTCCTCTGTATAAGAGGAGCTGAGCCTGTGGGGAAGCATGATTAGGGAGCGGAAGGGAAGGACCTGGAATGGCAGGTCTGACACATGCTAGATGCCTGATCAACGTTTGTCAGGGGAGGTGGGATGCTCCAGCTGTTTGCTGGCATGTTCTTTCCTGGCTGGGCAGCCGTCCTGAGCCACGTGCATCAACAGGAGGAATCTCCACCCTGACAGCACCTTTCACAGCCTGCTTCTAGCCACCATGCCCTCTGCTTCTGGAGAAGGCACGAACGCCTCGGCCAGGGCGGAGCTCCTGGCCCAGTCCGCTGAGCTCCCTGAACTCTGGTCAGTGGGAAGGACACACCCTGCACAGCACCTCCCTTCCATGCAGGGCGAGGTGAGGCAAAGGCACTGCCCCTCCGACTGAGCTCAGCCCCTGCTGTTGGGTGCCCCGTGCCCCCTGCCCCAGGCCACAGAGGGTGGTGGGCTGAGAGTCCCAACAGAGAAGGGTTATACGGCAGAGCAGGATGATTCAAAGGGTTACCGGAGGTAACCCTTTCAGAGCTGTCTTCCTGCATTTCCCCGAATAGAAAAGGTTTTAATGTGTAGGCCTGAACTGTCTGGGGGCGCAGGGAACGCCTGCCGACAGCACAGGTGCGCAACAGTGGGGACTGGCTTAGCCCTCTTCACCCAGCCACACAGTGGGACCCGCCACTGTTAGAAAGCAAGAGGAAATTGGTGATGACACAAAAAAGGGCCCATGATGTGTTGGTAAGTAAAAACCCAAGCTGGAGAATCTATTTAGAACAAGTCCCTCTTGTGTGTTTAAAAATCACATCTGCACGTGTACAAGTACACACACAGGGTGCCCCTTATATGACTCTCTAAACTATGTGCACACGTTTTCTTCACTGTGCTGTACATATGACATATTCGTACATATTTTTTTCTTTAAAGGTCTGGAAGATCCTAACAAATCAAAATAGTGGGGTCTGAAGAGGGGGCAGAGAGAGGAATGGGGTGGAAGCCACCTTTTCACTGTGGGAACCTCTGCACTATGTGTGCTGGAAGGAGCATCCACTGCCTTTATATGAAACACAGACACTATCAATAAAGACTTCAAAAAACTCATGCATCTCCTGGAGGGTGTGTCTCCTATTTGGGACAGAGAGGCAGCTGGAGGTTCTGCTAGGAGCTTCTCTCAGGCCTGTCTCTTCCCAGCCATCCCGTCCCACCCCACTACCCCTTCACACAGCCCTGCTTACCTTGGAATAAGTCTTCCCTCCTTTCAGCTCCTGCACAGGAAACACACACAGGTTGACTAGGGAATCCCAGGGACCTCATGGGTCTCCCCAGTCCGCCCACCCCCGAATCTGACTGCCAGGGGAGGAGGACAAAGAAACGGGCAGACTTACTCACTCAGGAGGTGGGTCTAAACCTACTGGACCAGTGGCCCCATGTGCACCCCCAGTCCCCGCCAGCCTCACCTTGCGCACTGACACACGGAAGATGCAGGGGTCCAGCAGGCCAGTGGCCGGGTTGGCGCTCATCTTACACACGAAGGTGAACCTCTTCCGCCACCGTACACAGTTCTCCTGCACCTCCTCCCTGCGGGCCAGAGGGACAGTGAGCACAAGGGTACAGGGTCCGCCTTTAGGGAGGTGAGGACCCTATTACCTGTGGGGGTGGGGAGAGGAACTCTCACTTTTCAGTTTGTATCACAGAGTGACTATTTTCATAACAAGAATCTGCTTGTGGAAGTATTATAAAACCACCACCACCAAAAAAAATAAAATAAAAATGAAAGAACACAAGGCAGGGGTGAGATCAGGCTGGGGGCAGCTGCTCCGTCTGCTCCCAGAACCTCCTGGCCCCCACCCCCAACCTTGCTCTGGGGCCTTAGGCAGCTCCTTCGGCTGCCATTACCTCCTATCAGCTGACTCCCACTGGCCATCGCAAGTGACCCTCACAGCAGGGTTCCCAGGATGGACTACTGGCCTTTTCACAGATGACAAGACTGAGGCTAGGAAACTGCCCGGTATCGCAAAGCCAGGAAGCAGCTGGCCCTACGCCCAGCGCCACCTGGCTCCAGAGCCCCCTTCTTCACTGTGAGTATCAACAACGACAGTAATAGTAATAACAGCTAATGCTCAGACAGTGCTTCCCACTCGCCAGGCCCCACTCAAAGCATTTTACAGAACCAGCTGCCACGGAGCCTGCTCCAAGTGCTGGCAACCCACGGTCAAGCTAACCCTTCAGCAACTGTCTGGAGCAGCCACTCTCATTAGTCCAATTCCACGTTCCAATAAACCGCAAGTTCTGGGGCCAAGACCCCAGCCCAAGGCCACCACCGCAGAGCAGAACAGGGACTTGAACCCAAGCAGCTTGGCTCCGGTGCCACATGCTCAGCCCTCCCCTCTCCAGGGGGACACCACTTGGGGCCCTCACATTCCCTGACACTAACAGGGGGCTAGACTTCCAGTCCTAGACTTACTCTGTGGAGCAGGTCCAAGCACCCATACTCAGCACCCTCAATAGGAGGCACCTCGTGCCCTGGGAGCGAGTGGGAGCCAGTGGAAGCAGCTCACCCAGCCGCTCCAGCTGCTGCGGGGGCCCCAGCAGGCCCCGGGGGTGGCAGTGGCACATGGCAGAGATGAGCTCCCTCACAGCCCGCCAGGAAAGACCGTGCTCAGGAAGGGAGGGGCCGGCACGAGAGAGATCATCGCCAGCCTCATCCCACCTGACAGGAACGGCTGAGCAGACAGCTGAGGAAGTGACCACTCCACATTCTGGAGACCTGAGGGGCTCGGGTTAACGGCCAGATTGGGGACTGAGGGCAGAGGATCAGCTCAGGTTGAGCATCTCCTGAAGGGCTTTCTTGCTTCTCATGGCAACCTGGGAAGGTAGACATTATGCCGCCCCTTCTGCAGCCAAGGGCACTGAGGCTCCGAGAGACTGCCCAAGGTCACAGCCCCCAGTGATGGACACAGCAGCGTCTGAACTCAGGACTGTTCGACTGCAGAGTCAGAGCACTCCACCATCACCTCGGTTCATGGGTCAGGGGCTCAGGAAAGCCTGGCAGATGGAACCCACTGAGGCTGGGGGGCCAGCAGTGCCCTGCTCTGCACCCAAACCATCCACCATGTCTCTGGGTGCCAAGTATGTGCCAGGTGCTGGACACTGCAGTGGACTTGATTCACAGGCTGACACTTGACAGTCACCCAGTGATGACTCAGTGTCACCAGGAGAGGGCAGGGGGAGGGCTGAGTCAGGGGAGGTGACTGGCCACAGGGAAGTGTCATTCAAGCTCAGATTTGATAAAGAGTGGGGAGTACCAGTGGGGGAGACGTCCCCAGCAGAGGGAACAGCATGAGTGAGAAACGAACATACTCTTGGTTTCTCAGCCGATGAAAGCCCCCAAGCCACGTGTCTATGAGGAGCTCCCTCCTGGCCCCACAAGGCTTTGAGGACGTGACAAAGGCTTCCCCATATCCTGCCAGGGCTGTGACAAGGAACAGTAGGCCTCGGTCAGGCAGACCTGGGCTCAGAGCCTCACACTCACTGTGCAACTTGGGCTGGGGCCCAACCTCTGCATCCTCATTGGTACAACGGGCACACCACACACTGACTGATGGGCACCTGAGAGCACTCAGTAAGGTGAGCCCCACAAAGGGCCGGGCTTAGGGAGGTCTGTGAAACACATCTCATGGGATGAAGACACTGGGCCTCTAGAGGGACCCAATCAACAGAATGCTCTGACCTTGTTAGGAGGGGGAGCTCCAGCAACCCCTGCAGGCAGGGGACAAACAGAAAAGGTCAGGGCTAGAGACGAGGGGAAGGAAGGGAGCATTCCCAACTGCTGGTATACGTGGGCAGGGACCCTCAGGAAGCAGGTGCCACAAGAGGAGTGGGACCCCTGGGCTCGGGCATCATCTGACCAAGCCATGTCAGCTCTCCTCATTCATTCAAATAATTGTGTGCCAGTCTCTCTTCTATGCACTGGGGCCACAGCAGTGACTAGCTTACATTTTGCTGGGAGTGAAAAGGAAGAACTAAAACTATCATTATTGGCAGATGACCTGATCTTATATGTAGAAAATCCTAAAAATGCACTTAAAAAACTACTAGAATACATAAGTTCATCAGGTTGCAGGATACAAGATCAATATACAAAAATCAATTATTTCTATATACTAGCGAACATCCCCAATGAAATGAAGGAAACAATTTCATTTACAATAGTATCAAAAAGAATAAAATATATATGAATAAATTTAACAAAAAAGTATAAAACATATATTCCAGGAAACCACAAGACATTGTGAACGAAATTCAAGAAAATCTAAATAAATGGAAAGACATCCCATAGTTGTGGATTGAAAGACTTAATATTAAGATGATACTACTCCCAAATTGATCTAAAAATTCAACACAATCTCAGTTGGCTTCTCTGCAGAAAATTGATGCACTGATCCTAAACCTTGGAAATTCAAGGGACCAGAATAATTAAAACAACCTAGAAAAAGTAGAACATAATGAGAGGATTCACATATCTTGATTGCAAAACTTCTACAAAGCTACAATAATCAAGAAAGTGTGGTTCCAGCATAAGGATAGACACATAGATCAATGGAATAAAGTTGAGAGTCCAGAAATAAGCCTTCACATCATGGTCAATTAATTTTCAACAAGAGTGCCAGCGGGGGAAAAAATGGCCTTTTTAACAAAAGTTCCTGGAAAAGATGGATATTCACATGCAAAAGAGTGAAGTATACCCATTTCTTACATCATCTATAATTAACTCAAAATGGACCAAAGACCTTAAGTTTAAGAGCTAAAACTATAAAATTCTTAGAAGAAAACATAAGGGTAACTTTTCATTCTTCATGATCTGGGATTAGGCAACAATAGTTTCTTAGATATGACACCAAAAGTACAAGCAACAAGAGAAAATACAGATATACTGAACTTCATAAAAAAAAATTTGTGATTCAAAGAACATGATCAAAAGTGAAAAGACAACCCAGAGAACAAAGGAAAATATTTGCAAATCATATATATGGCAAGGGACTTGTAGCTAGAATATATAAAGAGCACTTACAACTCAATAATAAAGACAAATAACCCAATTTTAAAACGGGTAAATGATCTGAATAGAGACTTCTCCAAAGAAGATACACAAATGGCCAATAATACATAAGAAGATGTTCAACAACATTAAATATCTGGGAAACACAGATCAAAATTACCACTTCCCACCCACTAGAATGGCTGTAATCAAGACAGATAATAACAAGTGTTGGTGAGGATATGGAGAAATT